TTAGCTTGTAGTGGATATAATACCTCTTTTTCCCTTCTTCTTTTTTTTTTTAAATAGGAAAATAATCCTGTCAAATTCAGAACTCTTAAACCAACCTCAGAGGTACTGTTCAGAACTTCAGAGCAGAGTTTAAATGAAAGAATATTTAAATCCTGAAAGCAAACACAGCATGGATTTACCAAAGGCAGGTTACAAAAACTAATTTAATATCTTTATTTGGTTAAAAAGAAAATCATTCTTGGGACAGAGGAAGTGTAGCGCTCCCGCCTGTCAGAAGTTCAGGTAAGCGTGCAATCCCGTGCCTCGTGAAATATTATTGTTAGTTAAGCTTCAGAGGCCAGGCTTTGGTGCAACACCTGTACATGAATAGTCTCTCTAAGAGAGAGCACAAAAAGCAGCCCTGAATGGACAGCTGGGAGTTCCTCTGCAGGAGGTCATGTTTAGTGTTTGCTGTAATGATTTTTGGCACAGAAGGCAATGGTGTGCAAGTGGAATTTGTGATGAGACAAAACCAGGTGTGGTCAATACAAGGGAGGATCAAAATACCATCCAGGAAGGCCATGAGCACCTTGAGAACAGGAGTGAATTGGGTGGCATGAAACCTACGGTTATGAATGGAAGGTCATGCTATTTGGAGCAATAACAGACATTTTGACTCTAATCTGGGATAGCATTATTTGGCAATGGCAGAGGAGGAAAGTGCTTAGATAGGTACAAATAAATCACAAAATAATTCAGGCTGACTGTTACTGAGGGGAAAAAAAAGACAAATACAACTCTGGAAAGGCTAGAGGAAAGGACTTCTTGTTAAGTGAGGGAATTGCCTCTGCATGAGGCACTGGTGAGCCTTTTTTCCTAGCTCATGAGAAGTAAATCTGGAGTAAATAGGGGCAGAGGGAGCTACTATAATTCAGTGAAATTTCCCAGTTTTCATGGTGTAAATGAACAGCTTGTTTTGGTAGAAGAAAGGTGTTGCTTGTTTAACTTGGTAAAATGAAGACTGAAAAGAGATACAGTTTCTCGCTCTGTAAGTGTATTAAAAGTTAGCAGGAGTGAAAACAGTTGTTTGAAATTTAAAGTTGATGTAAGAACGGCCATAAAGGAGCTGTGAGTAAATCCCCTAAAGACAAGAAGATGAGGGTGCCCAGCCATCCCTTTTGTTTCAGTACATGTGAATCCCAAGTGGTTTCAAGCAGAGTGGGGCAGTCTGATGATGAAAATTAAGCAGCTCTAGAGACAAGGCAGTGAAGGTTAAAGACAAAGATAAATTAGCACTGGTGGAGACTGGAAACTGACTGTTGCCAGTGAAGCAGCACCTCTTGCTCTGCTCTGCTTTCTGTGCAGGTTTTTGGGGAGAAGAGCTGCTGACGTGCAGAAATACAGAGGATGTAACAGAACTGAGAAAACTCCTTCTCTACAACTTGCTGTTTTACTTGAATGCATTCCTCATTGACTCATTCTCTCTAATTTAGTGTTCCTGTATTTAAATCGCAGCATGCTTGATAAGACTAACATGGTCTGAAGCTGGGGCATTCCCCAGTTGTAATTGATTACAGACAGGGAGCTTACCTTCCTCCTGGATTTGTCTCAGAAACATTTGCTTAGGCTTAAAATATTCTACTTGGCTTTCCTTGAAGTGACAGATGATGTTTTGTGCTTCTTTGTGGAATTGTCAAGATAAAAAGGATAGGTGGTTTGGGGCCACTGCATTTGCATAACCCTGAAAGGTGGCTTTAACTGATGATAAATTTTCATCTAATAACTGTGACCAAGCACTCAGAGCCACTGCCACCTCCCTGGGATAAACAGCCATAACAGTGCTGGCAGAGTAACTCTGCTCCCTGTGCTTCGCTCTCCATGGAAAAAGCAAACGTCCTCTACTCAGAGACAGACCCAAAGCACAGGAAATCCTAGCCTGATCCCTGGAGAACAAGGGGTCTGGAGCCTCCTGGGATGTTCCTGTTGGAGCTCTCAAAGTTCATTGCTCCAACCATGGGCTCAGGCAAGCAGCCTGCTTGATTCCACAAGTGGAAGCTGCATTGGATGCAAGCAGCAGAGGAGAGAGAGGGCAGAGCCAGTCTGCCAGGTTGCAGCCGTGGTGGTGATGTGCAGGGACAGGAAGGTGGAGGTGACAGTGAATATTCCAAACTGCTCCATCACTGTCTTTGAGGTGCAGATTGACAAGAAAAGAGGTGGAGTTTTGTGCTGGCATTGTGTGCTATTTAAGGTGCATACCCGTTGTGCTATTTGAAGTGTATGCACCCTGAAACCTTCTGGGGTTTAGGGTGTATTTTTTTGCCTTTTCCTGTCAGAGCAGTGGGACTGAGGTGCCTGCTTTCCTGTCAGTTTTGAGAAAAGTGCTCTGGCTCTTGTCCCCACTGCCGCTGCTAGTGCTGGAATGCAGTTTCCTTCATCTGATCAGCTTGGTCTGTCAGTGGGATGAGTGAGTCCCTCTCCTGTAATCAGTAACTGGAGCTGGTGTTGAAGACATGCCTCATCCCTCCTGCCCGTGCTGCTGTCGGGCGATGGGGGAGCAGCAGTGCACGGAGTGCCCTGGTAGTGCTCTTTGGGAGGGATGAAAGCGTGTTCTCACGAGGGAACCACTTCCTCTGTGGGCTTACATTAACCACAAAACATCAGAGAGTACTGATGTGGACATCACTAAGATCCATGGATCAGGTGGGAGGCTGAATGGCCTTTCATGTGACTGTCTGCTTGTAAAAAGGAATTAGTGGCAGTGCCTGGGGTATGGATCAGCCTGGGTGCTGAAAATCACAGTTGGTAGATCTTGCCAGCAGCTTTGTAGTAACTGCTGGAGCCAGACCTAGCAGTAATGTGAGAGACTGACTTTGTATCACCCAAAGTTTTGTTATCTACCTCCTGAACTTAAATTCCTGCTCCACTTGTACTTTTCACAAAAGAGATTTCCTCCTGCCATCAGATAAGGTGCTTGCACATGGCCTGAGGTGGCATTTTAGGTGGTTTGAGTTTGCCTACACATGGCTGCCTCCCCAGTTCATCTGTACAAAAACCAAAAACTGTTGTCCTGGCCAAAACCAGTTGGCTTCTCAGACTGTGTGATGAGGCTGAAAGGCGTGGAGGAGGGCTCAGATTGTGCTATGAGATCTCAGGCTCCTGGTGCTCCAGGCAGGTTTCAACAACAAGCCCAGCCAGATGCAAGTGAATGCACTGAGACTTGGTGTCCCAGCGTGGCCTCTGTGCCTGTGGGCAGGAGCTCACCCACACACTCAGCTGCCTCTGCCGGGGCTGAGCCTTCCTAGCAAGGGGCTGGTTGGCAGAAGTGACACTGCTGCATGGCAGGGGCCAAGCCCAGGGCCCCCGGCTGATGTGCCACATGTGGAACTGTTTCCAGCACATTGAGGGATCCTGGCTCTGGCTCCAACGCACGCTCAACCCTGCTCTCCGAGCTCTCTCTGTGCCACCATCATTCCCACTGCTGCTTTCTGGAACTGATGCTTTTTTCCTTTTACAAGCCTTTGTAACCCTCATTCCTTATTGTAACCCAGTGCCACTTGTCAGTTTCTGCTTTTATGTTAGCTGAAGCCAAGCACTGTTTCAGGGCATCATCTTTTCAGTTTAGAGAGATGGCCTTATGCATTTCCAGAGTCCCAAAGAGCACCAACACAGCTCTCCATGTGTGGTCCTGTTCCCAGTAGTGGTGTAGCCTTTCCAGCATTCAGGTAACAGTGTCACTGGAAGCAGAGGAAATCAGACTTCTTTCATCTGCCTGAAGTTTCTTTAGCAGCTTTAGCTGTTGTCATTCCTGTACACTGAGGGGATGGAAGTGGCTTGTAAATGTGCAGTAGCAGCAAGAAAGGTATTTCCAAAATCTGCTGGATATCTAGAGGGGGACCTTGAACCTCTTGTCAACCTGCTGTGTGCATGTCATGTGTGGGGCTGTCAGTGCCACACAGCAGTCATGGCTGAGAGCTGCTTGCCCCAGGCAGGACAGGGCAGGATAAGGAGGATGACAGGAGAGCCACATGCACACTGTGCATGATGAATACACCAGTGCCTTGCAGGCAGGTGCCCATGGTTTGGCAGCGGGTAAACTGGATTTCAATAGCTATGACAGGGTGCCCTCAGTGGGCTCATGGGGCTGATGCTTTGTTGGTTTGAGATCATTTCAGGAAGGATCCTGTAGAGTGATTTTGACATGGTCCAGATTGTATTTAGAGTTCAGATTACCTGCTGACCAGAGCACTGTGCCAAAATCATGTACCGTGATTCTTGTCCTGTTGGAAGATTTTAGGGAAAGTTGCTTTTCCCTGTTATGCCTTGGGCTCCATGGTGTGACAAACCACTTCTTGCTTTCATTAAGTGCTTCAGTAGTCCCAGGACAGGTGAGTGATGGCAGATGCTGTGATCCCAGCCCAAGCCTGCTGCAAGGAATACATCTGGGTAGGCTGACGCCAGCTATAGCAATCACTGCTCTGAAGTGCCTGCTGTGAGATGTGGCCATTTCACCCTTCACCCTGTATTAGTGCAACCTTTAGCATGTGGTTTCCTCTTGACAGAGCTAGCAGAAGCTAGGGCCAGCTTTGATGGAGATGGTCTTGGGCTGTTTGAGCTGGATGCACCCCCATGGCCTGGCAGGGTGCTGTGTGTGGTGGGTACATGTCCTGCCATTGTGTCCTCTGCCAGCTCTGTTCCCTGGCACAGACCATCACCAGTGCTGTGCTGTTGGACTCCTGTGTACAGTAGTTTGGGCGGGCACATCTCCCCAAAGGACCTGGATTGCCCAGATCTCACCATGTCAAAAAACTTCTCCCAGCCCACAGGGAAGCTTTCTACCTTAGGTACACAGGTCTGACCCTGCTGACTGTGTCAGCTTTACATAGAAGGAGGTCCTTGGAGCGCAAGGGTTCTTCTGATCTACAGCAGGATCTGTGTCCTTGACAGTCTCCCCAAGCATGAGGGACAGGAGCATGCTTGGCCAGGGTAGTTGCTGACCTCCTGTCTCTCTCATTTTCTTCCAGTCCTGGACGCACAACATCCAGCGGGAGAAGGAATTTTTGAGAAAGCTGGTGAAAGCCCGAGTCATCACTGACCTAACCAGTGGGATTTGAGTGGCTGCAGCCACTGCATCCAAGGGAGGAGATGAAGACATGCTGCAGCTCTGGGAGCAGGCACTGGCAGCCCCTGCAAGAATCCCACCTCACTGAAGACACACAGAGATGCCCAGGTGCTCTGGGAAGACCCTCTTGCATTGCCAGTCTGCACGAGGGTTACATCTGCCACCTCCAGGCCTAGAGCTGGCAGGAGGTGGGCAAGGGGCTGAGTGGACAGTTCTTGAACTCTGCATCGCAGACAGATCTTCTGCATCCTGAATTAGACAGGAAAGACTCGGGAGAGAGAAGAAAGGTTTGTGAATAAAATGATTAGTGCCAAATGGGAGGTGATGCTGCCCCAAGGCAGCAAAGCCTGAATGTACAAAGTATTATTTTTTAAAAGACTCTGCTGGAACCATACTAGAAATACCAAGGTACAAGGCAAAGTCTGCTTGCGCACAGCCCTGCGAAAAACCTGGTCTCTTCATGCTCCATCTGCATTGTCACCAGCCTCTGACCTTTCCCCAGGAAAACAAATCCATCCAAAACTTCGGTGTCATTGGTGCTGCTACGATTCAAAGGGAGAATAATGGCTTCCTCTCATTCTCCACTTGGAGCTTCTGGATGGAGATGAGCATGGGTTTGTTTTTCTGCATTTTTCCTCGCATCCTCCACAGAGGCAGCAACAGCAGCCACTGACTTGGCTATGTTTTCCATAGCCATTTGCTCTGCCTCTGCCCTGACCCCGAGGTGGAGCAGTGAGCTGGTGGCTTTCTCCGCCTACAGCAGACCCTCCCCACCTTCCTGCCTGTCACAATGCAGAGGAGCCTGCCCCGTTGTGCTCAAGGCTTTCAGGCCTCTTGGTTTGTGCCTGCTGTGCAGGGCCCCTGAAGAGTCCATGCAGACTTGTGTCACTGTTTCTGGACAGCATCTCGCTTTGGTTTTGTGTGGGAGGGGAGTAATTTATTCTTTGGAAGGAGGTCAGATCTTGAGCAGAGATCTCAAGCTTTACAGTTTGAGAGAAGACTGCTGAAGATGTTTGTTTTACGTTCCAGACTCAATCATGTTCCCTATTTAAGCGATGTGTGACCTCAATGATGATGGAACCTGATGGGAACTCTCACCCTCTGCTCGGCCCCTGCTCACTCCATTTCCAAGCTCCTCCTGTGCTGCTCTAGCACTGCTGCTCCTCCTTCTCTCAGGAGCACGTCCTTCCTTTGCCCTCTTGGTCCCAAGATGCACTATTTGCACATTTGATTTGTATACGTATTTCAGAGGAGCTGGAATAAACTGATCAACGTGGCCAAGTGTGAGGGCAGCAGGGTGGTCTCATCCACCTGAAGAGCGTGGGCAGAAGGGAGGTTGCCAAGGGAATGAGCAGTTACATGTGGAAAGTTCCTGTGCTCTCCTAGCCTGGAGCAGGCTGGAGTGCACCCACAGGCACTGTCCCAGTACCTGGGTGTCAAGGTACTGGCACACAGCCAGCCAGTGTTGGGGTCAGTGGAGGGGGATCCCAGAGGGATGTGGGTTGGGCTCATGGTCCTGACACTGTGTCTGACATAGCCCAAGGATTGCGGTCTGCCTTGCTCTGGACTGAAGGAAGCATGACCCTGGCTTGGGCAAGGAATGCTCAGAGCAGGGTGAGCAGGGCTCCCCCAGACCAACTCTGCACCTTCTGACTTGCAGGGACTGTGGCTTTGGACCTGAGACCCTCAAGGGGGTGTGCAGGAGGGGCAGGCAGTGATCCAGGCGTGGGGCAGACCAGCAAACTGTACAGAATGGTTTGAGACCAGGCTGCAGGCAGAGGCAGCTCCCAGGACATGGCACTGAGTGCTGCTTACAGAGCTGTGTGGGATGCCTCCCTCAGGAGCCTCTCCTGCCTGCTGTGCCTGTAGCCAAGGAGCTTGCTCAGGGGCAAGTCCTGCCCAGCTTCTTGTTGTGGCTGCTGTTTCCCTTGTCATCTGGGAGCAGCTCAAAGTTCCTGCTGCTTCTGGGCTGCAGAATACATGCTGGGAGGCTCTCCTTCCCTTTACTCTTCCCGTGTCCCATCCCCACTGCTCCAGCCTCCCAGCCAGGCAGTCCCCGTTCACCCAGGGACATGCCTCCTTTTAGGATGCTCTGTCAGGTTTGCAGCAGGTTTTTGAGCGTATGCTATGGCAGATACTCCTTTTAAGTATCTCCCAGTTTGTTTTTCCTTCTTGAGGACTCCAAGGGACTGAATTTCCATGGCTCTCACCAGGCAGCCCTCCCTTTGCAGTTCCTGGGTGTCAGCCTGGACTTGGGACCATCTTCTGTCGAGTCCCAGCCATGCTGGCAGGGGAAATGCTTGTCTGGGTCTGGCTGAGGTTGTGGCTGGGGAAGGGTTGGCACCCACTCTCTCTGTCTTGGTGCTTTAAACAGCTGCCATGAGAGCCCTAGGGCTGTATCCATGGGCTGCAGTGAGCTGAGATGGCAGAGTGAGCAGCTGCATCTGGAAGGAGGAGGGAAGAGCTTTGGTGTCTCTGCTGGGGCCTCCACAGAGGATTGTTCAATTGCATTATTGAACACTCAAAGCTCCAGGGCACTTTCGTCCTCCAACTCACTAGCTCCAGGTCCAAGGACACAGCATGGCCACTGCTCAGCCTTCCCTATCATCCCAGCTCCCCACCACAGCCATGAACAGGTCCTGATGGGAAGCTGACCCTACAGACCAGGGACATGACTCCAAGTCCTTCCCTTCACCTTGACAGGAGTTTCCAGGCAGAAGAGCCCAAGTTGAATAGATGAGTGCATGGCCCGGAGTGACTGTGGTGGGTCAGGACCACCTGCATGTAGAAGGAAAAGAGCATTTTGGGGACCAAGACTCTCCTCTGGCTCACTGACACCAGAGAGCAGCCCATGGCCAGGTGATGGGGCTCCAGCTCCAGGAGCAGTGCACAGCACTGCGTTTTGCTCCTGGGTGCTGTTCTTTTGGCTGCCTCCCCACGTGCACCTGCAGCCACCTCCCGCCCTCGAAAGGCTGCAGTCCTGGCAGCTCGGAGCGGTGCACGCGGGTCAGAGCAGGGTCAGTGGGACGGATGTGAGTCTTGGCCTCTCCCTCGCAGTGACTCACCTTGTCAGATCGGAAGGGAGAGCCCAGGGGAATTCTCCACAGCCTAAATATAGAGCGGGGTTGCCTGGTGCCTCTGATGCGCTGTGGTGCAGAAAGGCCACTCGGGTGGCAGGGAACCTGCCTAGAGACAGCCCAGGGAAACACAGGGAGATCAGGGGCCAGTGACCACAGTGGGTTTTGCTCCAACTAGTGCACAGAGCAGGTCTGGGGAGCTGCAGGGCAGCCTGCATGTGCTGCTCTGGAGGACAGGAGGTGCCGGAGAGCTGCTGCTGCTGTGCTGACCACACCATGAGCTGCGTGTGCACGTGTGTCAGTGCCCACCACACTGGCATTGGGATCCCACCACCAGCTCACCCTGTTAGGCCTGGCCATGCTGTGGCCTCGGGCTCACACATGCCAAAGGTAAGCACCATGGCCAGGTAGCATGAGGCAGGATGGGATCCAGCCCAGCATTCCTCATCCCAGCATCTCTGGGCTTCCAGTGTCTCCTTCCTTGGAGGGAGAAGTGGAGAGGCCCTGCCTGGCCATGCTGTGCTGTCCCTCAGTGTGAGCACTGCTGGGAGCAGGGGAAGGTGTCAGGACAGGGCCATCTGTGTTAAATGGGCCCAGTTGGGTTGGGTACAGGCAGAACTGGACACGGGCAAGGGCTTCCAGACTGTTTGGCAGGGAGGCATGCCGAGCTCCACGGGCACCAGCACAGCGTGTGCTCTCGGTCTGAGCGTGTCACTCGCAGTATTAGAGACGTGTCCTTCAGTGCAGGAGCCCCTTTGGGGCCACAGCCCAGCCCCTCTGGGCCCTGGCTCCTTGCACAGCCTGCACAGGGTCTTGAAAAGGCCAGTGCATTCGCCGGTACTGTACCAAGCCAAGATGCAAGAACTCAATGAGTTTTTAAAATTAGTTTTAGTTTCTGCATTTTTTTTAATTTTCCCTCTAGGCAGGGAGGGTAAGAGTCTTGCAGGCTCCTCCAAGCCGGCTTATGTCACATCAATTCAGTCATATCACAGAAGCAATAAAGCTATCAAACAAGCTTGGCTGGTCTCTTTCTTCTACTGCCTTGGGCATTTTTTATGGGAGGCAGAGGGATTCCCCTGGCTGGGCTGTCCCCCCTGCCTGATTTCACTGCTGACTCCTCTGGAACAGTAATCCAGCTGCCAGGAATTGCAGCTGGTCAGTGCCACTGTCCTGGTGCTGGGGACAGAAGAGGGCTGTGCTCCTCCTTGCAGGTGACTTTGAGGGGTGGGAGAGGGGATTGTGGGTTGGGTTCATTTAATGTTGGAAGGCACAAGCATCAGAGCTTGTCCTGCCTGTGACAAGCTGCCTGTGACTGTGCTGTCCTGGGGACTCCCTGCCAGCAGGATGTCTTCCTGCCAAGGGTCACAGCAGTGATTGGGCTGGGTGCGGCCCTGACAAAGGCAGGTGTCCAGCCAAGTGACCTTCTCACCACAGTGTCCTGGAAAAGGAAATGGTTTAGGAAGCCAGGGACTGAGGCTGTGTCCAGCTCTCATACCTGCCAAGTCCCAGCTGGGAGAGTGTAACCCCTTAGGCAAGCCCTGGTGATGCCACCAGGCTCCCAGAGCCACAGGATGTGTTGGAGACAGTTCCATGGCTGGAGGCACAGGAAGGCTACTTCCAGGTGAGTGACTGCCCTGCCAGACCTCCCAGCTTCTCAACAAGGGGTGGGTTGTTGCTAGCACCAATGGGGCACCAGACAAGCAACTGCCCAGCCTTCCCTGATGCATGGTTGCAGGTTTGAAGGAGATGCTGATGCTGGAGCAGCTCAAATCCTCCTTCCATCCCTCCTCTTTTCCTAGCATTTAAAGAGCAGGGCCACCACTGCCATCTGGCTGAGCCAGCCTCAGGGATGGCCCATGCCCTGACCTGGCCGTGGGAGGGCAGAGGATGAAAAGAACACAGAGCCTGGAACCAGGGCACACAAGGACGTTCAGGTCAGCTGAGACAAGGAGACTTGTTCAGAGATATCCCTGAAAGAGCCACGTCACTGCAGAGATGGGACACAGCCTGCGTCACAGCTCTCTCCCACGTATGTTTTGTCACACCCAGCCATGGCCTCGGACAGCAGTCATGATGTGCTCAGTCCTGCCATCTGGCTGGTCTGCATTACCCCTGTCCTGCCACATGCAAGGGTGGCACCTTTAGGGGCAGATGTCACAGCAGGTCCTGGCTCGGCTCAGCAGGGCTTATTCCAGACCAGACAAGGCACCTGGGGGCACCCCAGCCCCAGGGCACAGGAGCACGGGCTGGCACAGGCAGTGCCCTGGGAGGTACCAAGCCAGGCAGTGCCAGCAGCAGCCAGGGAGCAGCTCACCCCTCTGTCTGCAGCCCTGTGGGGCTGGAACCCTGCCCTGCACCCCAGTACCCTGTGCAGCCTGAGCCGTGCCCAGCATGCCCCAGGGCAGAGCCAGTACTCATGGGAGCCCAAGAGGGGAGAGCAGTGCTAGGATTGAGGCACATACTTGGGACATCCCCTGCCACCATGGTTGTGGGAGGACAGGGAGGAGGTGCTGCTCGTAGGACATTAGTGGAGCTGACAGCAGCTGCAGGCTTATGTCTCCCAGGACGAGAAGAAAGGGCAGAGGAGGGAGCCAGTGCCTCCAGGTGTCTGGGATAGCAGCCTTGAAGGGGGCACACCTGGAAGAGGACAGAGGCCAGGCTTTGCACAGCCACCCCTTCCACATGACTGGGGACACTGTGGGCTCACCTGTATGGGTGCCCTGGATACCCTGTGCCATGCCCCACATAGCCCCCTGCACACAACCAGCATCACATCCTCTGAACTTCCTGGCTGTGTCCTGGGGACATGAAGACCTGCCCAACCTAGGCAAGGTGGGAGGGGATGAGGCAACCCCTCTGCTGAGCCAGCACCCGAGGCTGTCTCCAAGCCCTGAGGGTTATTGGGGGGGAGGCAGCCCTTCCCTTCATTGGCAGCCCTCTCTTCCTGGGCAGCTTCCCTAGTATGGGCAAGGCTGTGGCCAGACGCAGCTCCATGGGGACAGCCAAGCAACCTGGAACAGGACATGCCACTCACATTGAAATTTTCCAAGCAGGCAGCTGCATTGATCTGTAGCCCTGCAAAGCAGAGGATCCTATTCCCTGTCACTCGCTCCCAGCTGTTTCTCTACTGCAGGGATGCACCAGGGCCTCCAAAACTCTGCTGGGCACTGCCTCAGATGTCCGTGAGGACATCTCAGACGGGAGCAGCCCCAGGCCGTGGCTGTGGAGCACCAGTCCCACGGCACAGACCGTGCTCCCACGCAGTGCCACCAGAAGTCAGGGAGCCACCCATAGCCACAGACTAGGTCAAGATGCTTGTGCCAGGAGAGGAGTGGGGGTGAAACGGGGGAGCCGGGGCCAAACGGTGCCGCTTCAGGGCAGGTAAAGCAGCAGCTCCGGGCCGCGTGCCACCTCCGCTGTCCCTGCTCGCGGTGGCAGGGACGGCTTAGTGGGCGCCGCCTGTGCCCGCACACTCCGTGGCAGGTGATGTCGCAGGAGGACGCGGGAGTTGTCACCCCCGCGCCGGATAATCCGAGGAGATGAGAGCAGGCGAGGCGGCGGCTCCGCAGGTGGCTGCAGGAGCGGCCGTCCGACCCTTCCGCGGGGCTGCCGGGCGGCGGGAAGGAGTTAAAGCCACGCGGGTGGCCCGGGGTCGGGGCGACCTGGGCGTGCAGCCGTGGCACAGCCGGCGACCGAGCCGCTGGCCCCGCTCCAGCCGGGGAGTTGCATAAGCCCGGGGAGTAGCGCCGAGGCGGCGGAGCGCCGCCGGGGCAGGTGACACGGCCGGCGGCACAGCGGGGCGCGCGGCCCGCCCGGGCGCCCTCGGTCCCCGCAGCCATGAGGGCCGGACCCGGGGGGCTCGTCTGGCTCTGGGCGCGTCCCGGCGATCAGCTCCGGCCAGGGGAGCACGTGTGAAGCGGGGCCGAGCGGAGGCGGCCCCGGGATTTGGCACGTTCGCAAGGAGCACTCGAGAGCCCCGGGATGGACGCGGAGGGCCCCGGGCGGTGACGTAAGGACTCGCACGGGCTCGGCTCCACTCGCCAGCCGGCCCCCATGTCCCCGGGGCCAGCGGCGGCCCCGGCGGAGGGAGGCAGGGCGGCGGCAGAGGTAAGGAGCCCGGTGGCGGGCGGCCCAGCCGAGGAGGAGCGGGACGCGGGGCGCGGAGGCCGGGAGGCCGGACTCCTCCTCCGGCGCGGCCGGACACGAGCGCCAGGCACACCGGTGACCCGAGTCAGCTCGGGATGCCTGGGACGCGGGCCGGCCCCGCCGCTGCCGGGAGCTGCCGGGACAGCCCTGACCCTGCCCGACAACCCATCCCCGCCGGATCCCCACGTGTGCAAGGGTCCCCCGCGGGGCTCTGCCCTTCGACGCGGGGCGTGGGGTCCCCGCGGGTCTCTGCTCCCGGAGCGCTCCGGGAAGGGCTGAACCCTTTCCCGAGGGTGTCCGCGTGTCCGTCCTGGTAGCGCTGTGATCGGGCTGTCGGGGCAGGAAGCACCGATCACAGGGCGTCCGTCCGTCCGGGCAGCGGGTCCGCCTGCCCGGGGGTCGGCCGACGGGCAGGTGGCGGTAGCGGGGGTCGGGTGCCTCCGGGGATCCCGGTGCTGTTCCCGGCGGGGTGCGAGTTTCCGCGGGAGCTCGGAGGCGGTGCGGATCACGGCGAGAGCCGGTGCTGAAGCGGGTTGGTCTGCGGCTCCTGCTGCTGGCGGGATTCCGGTGCCTTCCTGATCCCGGTGCGGTCCAGGCGCCCGTGCGGGTCGGAGTCTCGGTGCCACTACGAGCGGATCGGGGCGCCGGTTGGTATCCTGGTGCCAGTGTGAGTCGGGGTCCCGGTGCCGGTGCCCGCCCCGCCGGTCAGGTGACGGTGGCTGGAATTTGACACCGGCAGCGACGACGGGAGCGGGATGGAGCCGCCGGTGCCCCGCACTGCGCGTCCGCCTGACGCCGCCGCCACCGCACCCCGAGACGCAGCGGGAGCGGCACCGGGAGCAGCGGCGGGAGTCGGAGGCGATGCGGGGCAGCGGCGGCCCGGGGGATGGTCCCCACCGCGGGCACGGTGAGTGCGGGCCGGGGTGGCGGGCGACAGCGCCCGCCCCAGCCTGCCGGCGGCCCCGAGTCTCGGCGGAGGCTCGTACCGGGACTACGGGGGGGACGAGGGTAACCCGCTTCGCCGCCCACCTCCCGGCAATATTCGCGGGTCGGTGAGGGGCCTCGGGCCGCCCTCGGGCAAGTCCCCCCCGTTCGGCTACCGGGGTACCGAGCCTGACCCGGCGGCGGGAAGCGTTGGGGGCCGCGGCGGGGCCGGGGTTCCCTGCCGGGGCGGGGAGAGGCGGCACCCCGCTGCGGGCGCCCGAGGGGCACGGGGACGGACTCTCCCGCCTCTTCGCTGCGCTCCCGCCCGGCCCGTTGGGCACGTCGGACAGGTGTGCGCCCCGGGCGGTGGGCAGGCGAGAGGCAAGGGACGGGGGTACCCTGAGCCCCCCGGCTCTGCTGTCCCTGAGTTGGGGCCGAGTTTGGTCTCTGCCGTGTGTCCCGCGTGTCCGAGCCCGGTCTTCTAAGGCTTTGCGGGGCGGGTGCCCGCTCCTCAGCATACGTGGGGTTGATTTCTGACGCCCATCACTTCTTCTACCACGGTCAGCTCGAAGGGATGCAGGGCCTCCGCCGGTGCCCGCAGGTGTCCGAAGGGGTCTCTGGGCATCCCCCCGCGCTTCCAGGTGGGGCTCGCGGCTACAGGGCTGACACAGCTACTCCGAGAGCCGAGACACTCACCGCGGGCCTGGGGCACCCGCTGGGCCCGCGTGGATGCACTTCGCGAGTGTCTGCTGCCTCCCCCGGGGGCCCGGTGCAGCCACGGGACATGCCGTGAACAGGGCAGGCAGCGGGGCTCTCGCCGGGCTCTGCACGAGGGAGTGTGAGCTGGCTTGCTCAGGGATTGCACCAACAATTGCTGTTGTTTAGCCCCGGGCGGGGGACACATGTGACGGGGGTCCAGATGCGCTCACATAGATGAGCTCGGTTCCGACCCTGGGAAAAAACCCTCCTGTGTCTATGAATCGCCCGGCAGGGCTCTGGCAGCCGTGTCTGGGGGAGATCCAGCCAGATTTCCTCGTACGGGGCATGGGGGTCTGCTGTGGGGTGTGCAGGTCTGGCACCCGGTGGGGTGCAGGTGCTCGGCTCAGCCCTGCCCGCCCCGGACGAAAGCAGATCCGAGCGGGGCTGCGGGGCCAGCGTGGGCTGCCGTGCTGCGCGCCCGAGGAGCTGCCCCGTGGACGGGGCCCCGAGTCTGAGGAGGCACTGCTTGTGTTAGTCCGTCGCTTCGGCTCTGGGGCTCCCGGTGGCGAAGGGAGGCTGCCCTCGTTCGGCGCCCCGCCGGCAGCGCTGCCGCTGCAGAGTCCGGAGCCGTGCTGCCGCCGGACGGGAGAAGCCTGAATTGCACCGGCTGATCCGACCCGACCCGTCCCGTCCCGGCCCGTCCCCTTCCCATCCCGTCCCGCCGGGACGCTGCAGCCGAGGGGCCGCAGCAGGGCGGCCGGCCGCGGAAGCGAGGACAGGGGGACAAGTCTGTCCCTTTCCAGCAGGGCGTAGGGACCCTCGCCTGGCCCCTCCGGCGGTGCCGGCCTGGGAAATCCATGACCTGGCGGCAGCGGCTGGCGTGGGGCCACCACGGGAGCGAAGTGCAGCGTGGGCTGTGTTTGCCCAGGCTGGGGCGGCTGGTGCGAGCCCTGGCGGCACCGGGAGCGCATCCCGCCTGGAGGGGACAGCGCCCATTGCAGACCCGTGTCACAGTGTGGCCAGTGCAGGGTGGCATCAGATTCCACAACTGGGACTTGGGGACCATCCTCTGAGATGCTAGAGGGACTGCAAGGAATTATGTTTTCTTCTTGTTCCAGAAGTGCCCAGGCATGTGCTTTCACTTATTTTTTTGGTCAGGAGCGCTCTGCTCAGCCTGTCCCTGTCCCCCATTGCTTCCTTTGCCATTGAAGCAAATGGGACATGTGGGGGCAAAGCCGAAGTCACAGAGGGGGACTTGGGGACCATCCTCTGAGATGCTAGAGGGACTGCAAGGAATTATGTTTTCTTCTTGTCCCAGAAATGCCCAGGCATGTGCTTTCACTTATTTTTTTTGGTCAGGAGCGCTCTGCTCAGCCTGTCCCTGTCCCCCATTGCTTCCTTTGCCATTGAAGCAAATGGGACATGTGGGGGCAAAGCCGAAGTCACAGAGGGGATGGAGGAACTCTTGAATGCAGAATGTCAGTAGGCTCCAAGGGTACAGTGCCATCCTGAGAGACAGGATATGCAGCAGATGGGACAAGAAGCTACAACCACTTTTGGAACCACTTCTAAAGTCCTTCAAAGGCAGGGTATCCCAGCTTTGGACACTGGGGCACCCCTGCACCGCAGGGGGGAGCTGGGGAAAGAGGTGAAGATGTCCTGCAAATGGGAGTTGCCCCAGCACCTCCTGGGAAACATCACTCCCCTGAGACCGTGCTTGCTGCTTCGCTGGGACCACGCACAGCAGGGATGCAGTGCCTTTCTGCATGTCAGGGCAGTGGATGCCAAGCTGTGGTGTTGGGGTGAATGACTACAGTGAGCCCAGCATGGTGCTCCGTACCCTGCCAGGTCCCCACAGGACGTGCCTGAGCATCCTGCCCCTTGCAGTCCCACTCATGCAGGCTGCTCAGGGGTTGTGTGTCCCAGCTTGGCGCAGGCAGCAGCCTGGGGAGCCAGCATGGGGCCAAGGGGTGGCTGCACCCAAGGACCCCGTGCTAATGGATTTGGAGTTTCCAAGGTCAGGCTCCCACTGTGAGCAAGAAAAACATTCCCAGGGAAGGGCCATGGGAAAGGGCCCCCCCGTGCAGCACTCCCAGCCCCAACAGCTGCCTCACAGCCCAGCCTGGCATCCCAGGCTGTTCACACGAGGACATGGCTACATTGCCCCTGAGGAGATGTGCTGTACAAAGGCTGGGTTGCCCAAGCTGCCCAATCTCTTGGAAGGGGTGTTCGGTGTGGTGAGGATGCCTGGCTATGCCAGGAGAGGAGAGGGGTAGGGGTGCAAGAGGTATTGTGAGGTTTTGGGGGGCGAGGGAGGGGGTGGCATGCTTGCCCAGGGCAGGGAGGCATGTGACAACTCCCAGCCAGGCAGCTTTATACCCACCCTGGGTGGGCACTAACCCCAACTTCTGTACTTGCAGCTAGCATGGACCAGCGACAGGGGCCACCAGAGCGAAGGCCTGCAGGACCTGCCACGCACCTGCAGCCCAAGGTGAGCCCAGGTCTGTCTGGCTGCAATGGCCAGGACTACCTGACCCTATCCCCAGCTCATGGAGCCTCATTCCTGGTGTGAACCCTGGTCAGGACTGACCCTGCTGTGCTGTGATTCATTGCAGGAGGGGACACTGTGGGGGTTCTTTGCCATCCTGTCTCTGCTGGCTGGGCTGGCCACAGGCACCCTGCGAACACCACACTGCAACGAGACGCTGGACGCAGCCCCCACGCCACGGGGCACGGCCACTGCCAGCCTGTCTGCGGAGGACGGCGTGGAGGCACCACTTGCCGCTGCCTGGAGCCAGCTGTACGGTGCGTTTTGGGACAGGCCCCCCAGCCAGGGCGTGGTGGTCCCCTGTGTGGGGCGTGGGCAGGTTGGGAGCTACTGTGGAGAGCCCCAGCCCATGTGGGGCTATGGCTGCACTTTTGGGCTGGGCTGAGGGGATCTCAACACACAGGGCCCTGAGCTTCATGCTGGGCATGTGGCAGAGCCCTAGAAATGAGAAGATGAGAAGATTCTTGGCTGGAAGTATCTTCCCACACACCTACACACCCTCTCAGGCACCAGCCATTGCCACGGTGGGTGATCAGGAGGGATCCGTAGGTCACAGCGGGAACCGGCAGGCTCAGAGGGAGGGCGATGGGTGCAGGATAGGTCATGACAGCGCCATCTCCTCCATGTGCAGGGGACAACGCGACAACAGGTAGCCCAGGCACCGCAGAGCTGGCGGAGGACCTGCTGCTGCGTGCTGAGCGCTCGCCGCCAGGTGCCAGCAAAGCCAAAAAGCCGGGGATGAAATCCCCACGGCGCACCCGTGGGCGCAACTGCCACATCCGCAACCTGATGGTGAAGGTGCGTGACCTGGGCCTGGGCTTCAACTCGGACGAGATCGTGCTCTTCAAGTACTGCAGCGGGTCCTGCCACCGGGCACGCAGCAACTATGACCTGACGCTGGGCAGCCTGCTGCGGCAGCAGCTCATCGCCCCGGGGCCGCAGGAGCGGGTCCTCAGCCACCCCTGCTGCCGACCCACCCGCTACGAGGCTGTCTCCTTCATGGATGTGGAGAACACATGGCAGACAGTGGAGAAGCTCTCAGCCGCTGAGTGCAGCTGTATTGGCTGAGGAGGGGGCCGCTGGCTTGGCCCCAGCTCGACACATGCCGACAGACTCCAGCTTGCCACATGCAGTGGCACTGTTGCTCAGAACAAGGGTTTGGCAGAGGCCGGTGCCCCTGTTATTACGTGGCCACAAAGAACCGAGGTGAGGTGGAGTCATGACTGGGGTGTGGGTGGCCAAGCCCGCTCCTGCTCAGTGCCAAGCAGCTGGTGCCAGCGGCTACATGGGGTCCTGCCCAGGTGCCCTGGCTCAGCCCTGGGAGACTAGCTGAAGAGAGTATGGATCATCCCCACCACTCCCAAGGGTCTGCCAGCCCAGGGTCCATCAGCAGCACTCCTGCACCTGTGCTCCAGGGGCCAAGCACCACCCAAGCTTCAGAGGGGGCAAAACCTCCGTCCCCTCGGGCACGCTGGGATCAGTGGTGCAGGGGAGGGCTGTCCCTGAGGACAGGGATGCAGTGGGGCCAGTTTGCACCAGAGTGGAGTGGGGGGTCTGCACCCGGACCAGCAGCAGACCCTAGTATTCCGCAGGGTGTTCTGTCATAGACACCCGTTGGGACCCCCACCCCTGCCTGGTTCCCAGGGTAGTGGCAGGGTCCCCGCGCTGCTCCGTGGTGCTGTGGCACTAAACTATTTATTACTCTAAATTATTTATTTATTGTTCTCGAGCGGCAGCTCCTATTTATGACTTTGGGCCCCCAGCGGCCGGGTGTAATTTAACCCCAGCGCTGCACCGAAGCCCTGGGCAGCGCCCCGTGCACCCCGCATCCTTTTTCTATTATTTGTAAAATTTGAGGGATAAACTCTATTTTTGTACAGTCGCCTTTTCCTGTAGCAATAAAGCGATGGGCTGCGCGTCCAGCCCCTGCGTGTGCCCGTGATGGGGACGGGGACGGGGGTGCCCCTGAGGCGGCAGCGGGAGGGTGCGGAGCGGCGCTGCGGGCGGCTCCCGCGGCACTGCCCGCGGTGCCGGTGCGCGGTGCCCGGCAGGGGACGCGCGTGGGCCGGGACTACCGCTCCCGGCGTGCGGCGCGGCGCTGCGGCAGGTCCTGGGCTGCCCGGCCGCGCCTGCGGGGCCGCGGGGAGAGGCGAGGCGGGGCCGCGGAGAAGGGGAGCGGGGCGCTGGGGCTGCTCGGCG